GGGGGGGGGGGGGGGGGGGGGGGGGGTCAATAAGTCAATAACTTTCCCTGCTTTGGTCAGCAATTACATGCAGTCATAAAAGAGCCCTGTGGCTGCTGCAATGGCCACCAGTGTAAAGTATACACACACACACACACACACACACTAACACACACACACACACAGAGTCATAAACAAACAAGGAGTCCCCTGATGGCTGGAGGGAAAGAACCAGAGAGTTTGACTTTGAAAGATGAATGCAAACTCAGCTAAAGAGGAAACACAAACATGAATCTATGAATCTCCTTCATTCGGGGGAAGTGGGTGTTTTTCTACTGAGGAAAGCGAAAGCTCTGTAAAGCTCTGTAGAGGAGATGTTTTGCAAATGCTGCACAAAGCAGGTAACACTTTCATGCATGTATGTGCAGGAGAGATGTGTGCATCCATTGTGCTGCACACAATGCAGGAAATAACATGTGTGTCCTGTTACCTGTTCTGGTTTGTGGCCACTTGGTGGAGCTCATCAGTCTCCTCATCGTCCTGTACCTGCTGTCACAGGTCTGCCTGTTGAAACAGTACCAGCCGCCTGAGCAACACACACACACACACAGCTTGTTAACAAGTTACATAGAGATATTCATATTAGTGTATAGGTAGTAGTTAGCAGGTTCATCCTCACCTTCCAAGAACAGCAGCCACCTCTTGCTGCCTTTAGACTCCTTGATGTAGTACCTGAGTGCCAACAGCAAAACAAATCACTGTGAATGTGTCAGGCACACACGCACACACACACATACACTCCATGGGAGGGATGGTACCTTTGATCCTGACATGAAAGATCTGGCTCTGATTGCACTGCTAAACATCTCTGCAGGAGTGTGTTTAGCGGGTTTCAGAGTTCTGAATGGTTATTTTCTTTAAAACACGAGCAGAGGAAACTCATCATGCTGTTGGAAACACACAGAGGCTTAACAGCATGGGTGGCATTGAAAGCTCCTTCTTACTCACGCAGTCACAGTGCTTTATTCCTAATAGTATAAATCCCCAATAATGAAGTTAATTGAATTCATACTGTATTTAAAGTGTACCAGTAATGTCTTGGTTTTCTAACCTTAATTATGAGGTTCTCAAGATTTATCTGTAGAAGTAATGTCAGTCTCTGCAAACCTGGCAGCTGCAGTCTCTTTTATTTAGTGTCAGTACTGACACAGAGGTTATGAGATAATATACACAATAAACTTTTGGAGGCATGTGAGATTGAAGATAAACTGGTTTATTTTGAAGTAGTTGTGTACAGAGAGTCAGTCAGTCTGCAGTGTGACATGGACACCTGCTCCCTGTGGGTCTGTAACTCAGACTGTCCATCTGATGGAATTAAGTACAAGTCTTCAAATATTGTTGTAATGTATCTTTATCAGTCTAGTATTGTAACTAATAGACCCAATAACGTTCATCCATCTGATTTAAATAAACTCATCTACCCTAACCCTATCTCTCAGAGATAAAAAATATATATTTGCCTCTCTGTCGGATGCGCGCACCTCTCTCTCTCTCTCTCTCAGCGCGCGCTGCGATCCCTCTGATTTGTCCTTTTGATCCATTTTGGTCACATCCGGAGTGACAAGAGACTGAGGGGCAGGGAAGTAAACTAACCCGCCAGAGAAACGCAAATGTGATGTTTGGTGAAGCAGAGCGCAACTGTGCGCCTTCGTGGCTTTAACCAAACAGCCACACATAACGCAGACAGACCTATCAGCGTATTAAAGTTAATGGTGCCAAGAAGCGGTTCACTCACCCTGCAGGTGACCCGTCATTGCAAGTCACAGAAACATTCTTCAAAAAGTGCAACTTCATGTCTTGATCCAGTTTCTGCGCAGAGCACGGGTACAGTGACTGCGCCAGGTTCTTTATCTGCACCATGAAGTTGTCCATGTTCCCCTCCACGGCGGTGAAGTCTAACGGGAAGCTCTCTGCTCCCTCCACCCTCTCCCTGTGCGCCGGAGGCTGCGGCTGCGGCTGCGGCTGCACACGGCGGGTCTGCGCCCGGCCGCCGGCCACTCTCTTCGCCTCCACCGGAGCGCTCATGTGGATGAGCAGCAGCAGCAGGCAGGAGCGCACCGCGGACAGAGCGGCCGAGTTTCTCACCAAACCGCGGCTCTGCATGTCTAACTGTTACTGGAAAACTTCTTTTAAGCGTGCGCAAGGGAGCTGAGTAAAACACAGCACATCCTAAGAGTCGGCAGAAAAGAGAAAAGTTCCTTGAGGACGCACCGAGACCTGTTGGAAGCTACCGGTCATGAGAGGTGTGCGGGATGAACGCGGGTTACGGTTCTCCATGGTGCCTTCACAGATGGTGAGCTGGTTTTAAAAAAGGACCCCAAACGCACGTGCAGTCCCCACATCATTTCAGTCCTAAAGCCAGCAGTCAGTCAGCGCGTCATTACGCACAAGTCCCTGAATCCAGACCAGTTCCACCGAAGACCTGTCGGCTCCTGGTTCAGGTCCTCATGAGCTGCGGACGAAGTGGAATTTTATTTGAAGTCCCCCCCTCCGCCCCCTTCCTGCCCCCTGCCCCGCGTGCTTCTCACTCCCGCGGTCCAATCGTTATTATCGTTGGCTGATGCTCCTCGCGGGGCGTCGGTCTCACACTAAGAGCGCGCGCATGCCTGGCACGCCCCTTCAGTCGATACACTCGGTGCCTTTGATGTTGTGTCATCGTATGACCACGCTGCCTTTGAACTGTGCTTGATTGAATATGGTGTGTGAGGGGAGAACCGGACAGGGCCACAGAGGGTCACACACCATGCAGCCGGGGCCCAACAGACACTGATACTCTGTTCTGTGCAGTTTTAATGTTGTGGGAAGAAGAAACCGACATGAGAGATTCATCCTGAAGAGAGGAGTTAGTTCTGGAAGTCTGTAGGAGAGAGAAGGTCACTGGAAGGCTTTAAATCATGACTGTGGCATGTGTAGACACAGAGATATGCAGCTCTCTTTGAGTTTCACTAACTCACCAACACACACACAACACACACAC